AGAGCATGGACAGAGTTCCTATTCCAATCCTCTGAAGATGCCGGCCACAGAGACTGGCGAAACGTCAGAAAGAACAACCTTCAAAACACGGCCAAAGAGCCCAAAAATCCCACAACAACCATCAGATCCCAGCCAGGAAAGCCTTTGAGAATACATCTTGCTATTGTATTGTTAATTCAGTTTATAATAGTAAACAAAAAATGAAACATTGGCCAGAATCATGAACTGCTAACAGTTACATCAAACTCAGTTGGGTTTGAAAGCACCACATGTTACAATACAAAGTTTGCAGTTACTATATTTGCACTTTTTATCTTTTTAAACTGCTGTTAAATTTTCAGCTCCCTCCTGATGTTATACCTGCTGCCATGTATGTAGATCTTTGGAGACCAATAGATATCTACTGTGCAGATCAATACAGGGATGCTAGCCCTGATGCCTGCTGAAAATTCTTCAGAAAGGCACAGTTACACAACTGAGACTATAAACTCTTCTAGCCAAAGAAGAGTTTTACTTTTTCTCACTTTGGTTATCAGACCAGGTTATTACTCAGTCGAACAAACAGCAGGATGTGGAAGCAAATTTCATGATGATTACAGACAGTAAGCACAGGGACCATGATTGATTTTTTATGTGACGTACATGGGACGTGGTGGCGCTGTGGGCCAAACCGCAGAAGCCTGTGCTGCAGGGTCAGAAGACCAAGCAGTCGTAAGATCGAATCCACGCCATGGAGTGAGCGCCCGTTGCTTGTCTCAGCTCCCGCCAACCTAGCGGTTCGAAAGCATGCAAATGCAAGTAGATAAATAGGGACCACCTCGGTGGGAAGGAAACAGCGTTCCGTGTCTAAGTTGCACTGGCCATGTGACCATGGAAGATTGTCTTCGGACAAACGCTGGCTCTATGGCTTGGAAACAGGGATAAGCACCGCCCCCTAGAGTCGAACACGACTGGACAAAAATTGTCAAGGGGAACCTTTACCTTTTCCTGTACATGTGAATGGCATTTTTGACAGAGAGCACTTCAAGAGTACAGAAGACTCTTCTCATGTCAGCAGCACCCCATGTATGAGCAGATATTATCTGCTAAATCTCAGCTAAATACTGTGTATTAGACCTGTCCAGAAACATAATACAGTACTGTTTTTGTTGCTGCTATGAACATTCTAACCATGCTACATTTTCTATATAAAGGAGGAATTGTAGTTAGAAATGTTAAAATTATACAACTTGGTTTTTAAAGTGTACTGTATAAACAACATATAGTATTATGTAACATAAATGTGAAAGGATAGTTTTCATACTGGAGTGATGTAAGAGGTGGGATACTGCAAGGATTTGTACTGAGTGTGAGGGTTCGGTTTCTGGCTCCTTTTGTTTTTCAAATAAACTGGGAAACCTTTGCATTTTTGAAACAGGAGTAAGGTTTATTGGGGTATTTAACAGGTAACCGGTATCAGCCGGCTTGTTTCCATGTCTTTCTCCTTCCAACAACGGGTCGGGGAGGGGTTTCCAATCTTCTTCTAGGAACGGGTTCTTTTCACCTGTGTCCCTATGGCCAGTCCATAGACAAATTCTGGTCTACCGCTTGTCCCAGTTCACCTTCCAACAGGGGCACGCTGTCTTCATCCCAGTCGTCCACCCACACGGGGGATCCGGAGGGTGTGGGGGTCTGCCAGGGTCCTCTCAGTAGTCCCTCGTCCACATTTCACCTTCCATTCCAACCTCTCTCTCCTTTCTCTCTTGCCTTTCCTTCTCTCAGCTTCCTTTCTCCACTCCCTGGCCTCAGCCTCTCCCAAATATGATGGTCTCTGGGGAATCTCTCTCCTTTTCCTGTAATCTGCCTCCTCTTTTTGGTATCCTCAGTTTCTCCCAAGCCCGATCTTCCATCCAGACCCATTCCCAGCCTGGGGGTAACTGTCCTCTCCTCCCTTTTTATATCTGCTGTTCCTGCCTCAACCTCCACCCTCTCCTTCCATTCCCGCCATCCTCACTTGAGTTCCTTTGGCCGTTAGTTTCCGCATCTCTCTTTCAAATTCTTGGGTGTCAGTCTCCATTTTTCTGTTTTCTTGTGGGGTGAAGCTGGCAGGGTCTGTACCTCTTTCTTGACCATGTGAGAGAGGGACGGCACTCTGGTGAGAGAGATAACCATAATTGCCCCCTGTCTCACACTGAGACACATTGATAAAAGTGATGCAGTTAGGGGTGAGCTTGTTCCTCTATTCTTTTCAGGTTGGAGGAATGAGCATTAAAATAGTAGGGTTTTTTTTAAAGAACTGATGTATGCTGAAGTAAAAAGACCTAATTTCAGAGATATACTGCTGAGATCTGAATTGGTGGTGATGCACCAGGAAAGAGCTTCTACAGATACGATGGATAATTCATTGAAAATTTCCATCCAGTGGCGCAAATCTTCTTGTATAACTGTTATAACTTTTGGAAGTGATTTGCCTTAACTTAAGATATCACTATAGAAATTATATGAATTGCATACTGAGTTGTGTGAATCTGCATGCTACTGATAATATTTACTGTGATTGCTTAACTGGAGGCCATTTGGTTCCAAATCCAACGCTGTTTGTGGAACTATACAAGAGGATTTTGGCTGGTGTGGTTTAACTTTGGGAGTCAAAAAAGGCAAATTCTCTATTAGCTGTCATTAAGAAAGGGGCAAAAAATGGAACTGCCAATATTACATAGATATTTTGTATCTATCTAGATAAAATACAGTATATACCTCTGGTCAGCAAATTTACAATAAGACACTATAGAGTTTAAGAATGTGCAGTACGTTTTTTGGGCTGTCTGGCTGTGTTCTTAAGATTTTTCTTCCTCACATTTCACCAGTCTCTGTGGCCGGCATCTTCAGAGGACAGGAGTCAGAACTATTATTGTGATAAGGGGGAAAGATGATTTGTCACTGTGATTGATGGGTGTCGTTAGCTGGTCTTTTGTGTGCAGTGATCACTGGTCCTAATGATTGCTGGTGGTGTTAGACTGTACAAGGAAGCCATTGAAATCCACAAACACCAGCAGAGCTTCAGCAAAAAAGAGGAAAGTCTAAAACTCAACAAAGCCTGGCTTTCAGCATGGAAAAGACAGCCTGCAAAAGGTCAATGAACTCTACCCAGACACAAGGACCAGTGATCACTGCACACAAAAGACCAGCTAATGACACCCATCAATCACAGTGACAAATCATCTTTCCCCCTTATCACAACAATACACACACACACAAACCATTGTGATCACCATAATCACCCTATCTCTTGAAAAGGACAAAAAGCTGATCCCACAGCTATAAATACTCAACTATTCCACAAAACTGCACCAGAGCACAGAGTTCTGACTGCTGTCCTCTGAAGATGCCGGCCACAGAGACTGGCGAAACATTAGGAAGAAAAACCTCAATAACACAGACAGACTGACTGAAAAACCTACAAGCATCGGATCCCGGCCATGAAAGCCTCGAGAATACAATGTACAGTAAATCAATCAAAATGATCAAGGAGCTGGCTCAACATCCATATGAGGAAAGTTAGTAACATCTGGGATGGCGGTTAAATTTAGATGAAATAGTAATAAATGTTTATGTTAGGCCCAAACTTGTCCAACAACTTTTTTAAAAAAAGGATTGGTTTCCAATGGATAATGTTTGAAAAATTATACTGTCTGGTACAAAATTGGCTAGCAGACTCTGTGCACGTTGCAGCTAGCCTAATTAAAATAGCCGTCCTGTGGGTGCCTGCAAATTTCCCTGTTTGAATGAAGCAGAAAATGAAATAGATCTTATTGTAGAAGCTGTGCAGACCTACAGTTGAATTTTAAAAATAGAGATGGCTAAATTGCTGCACTTTGAATCCAGTTTTTTTGTCCATCCAAGGGGTGGATACAGGTTTGCAGTTTCAATGAAACAGAAAATAAAATGGGCACAAAGAAATGGCTGGGATGAGATACAAGTAAATAAGTGGGACTTGATCCAGATTGGTACTCTTGTAGTCACAAGAAGGAAAAGAGCTCTTTGCACCAGCAGAGGCTTTGTGTTTTGCTTTTTCATGTTCATTAATAGATATTTTTGGTTTGCAGTTGATGTTTTTAATAATTAAACTCCTGCTAATGGTACTTCTCAGGTGTTACTTTTATAAGCACTAATTTTTGAGAGCCTTTTGTCTGGTGTTGGTTCAGAAAAGACAGTGAATTTAACATTAATGTTCTAATTGTAATGTATGATTTCTAAAGTCTGGAAAACCATAGAGGAAGGCAAAGAAAGTGTGGGAAGTGAGGTAGGAGTAAACAGGAAGATAGTGGCTGAAGTCCAGTAGTAGGTCCATTGAATGAGTGGGGATTTAGTGAGTCAACTCCTCTGTAAATTCCAGTGAATCCATTGGCCTACTCTAGTTGTAACCTTTAGCCAAAATGTTGTGTTTGCCTTAGTTTTATTAGTGGATAGGGACTGTATCAGTGAGGTTTGCTGTGGCATTTGAAGGAGGTAAGAGGGAATATCGTGACACTTCAAGGGAGAAGGGTGGACACTGTATGAGGATTCAAATAGAATAGCAGATTTGTTAATTATTTATTTTCCCATTCCTAAAGCTACACTTTCTGGTGGACTCCAGGTGTATTAGAATACTTACCTTTGCCGTATGATGAAGGTACGTCCTACTTCTTAAAAAGCTAAATACAGCTGTCTTAAAATACTAATGTATAGTGGGCATGATTACAATATTGAAAATAATTAAGTAACATAATGTTCGTGTTATCCAAGGTATCGTGAAACAATTTGAGCAGTGGGGACTTGTGGTCTATATTCTGTAGTGGATGTGGGAGAGCAGGACTCTGGCATGTCTTCTGGTTGATGTCAGTAAATTGTATATTTTGCTTTGTATAGATTATGCTTTTTGAAAGTAAAACACTCTAGATAGATATAGATCCATCCTGGTCAGTAAGTATCATACGAAACTGGTGAGGTAGAATTTTGTTTGAGGGGTCCGAGTAGGACTTAGGGATTTCTTTTTCTTTTTTAGTTTCTGATGAGATTGATCTGGTAGAAAACTGAATGTACAGGACTCAGAATACAGTAGTGCCTCACTTGACGATGTTAATTTGTTCCAGTGAAATCACTGTAGAGCAAAAAGGTTGTCAAGCAAAATAAAAAAATCCATTGAAAATCGTTCAGTGCATTCCAATGGGCTGAATACCTGCTCGTCCAGCGAAGAGCCTCCATAGGGGCAGCCGTTTTCGGTGCCTGTAGTGCGAAAAATCAGTCCTAAAAACAGTGGGGGGCCATTTTCTTCAGCCGGTGGCCATTTTGAAATCCGACAATCAGCTGTTTGCTGATCATCATGATCATCATGAACCGATCATCGCACAGTGAAAAAAAACCATTTAAAACATTGTTTTGCGATCACAAAAGCGATCGCAAAAATGTCAACGTAAAGCAGATTCATCGTAGAGTGGGGTAATCGTCCAGCGGGGCACGACTGTATATTACATCATCTCTCTCCCTCCCTCTCTCCCTCGCTCCCTTCCCGTTGCTTAAACACATACATGTTATTGTGAGATACACTTTCTGTCTGTTTCAAGAGATGTAATAGACCTATTTTTCTTTTTTTAGTGACATGTGCTGAAAACAGAAGGAAGCTCATGGTGAAGAAATTTAATAAATGTGATGATGAGATTGACATTCATAATGAATTTTTTCGGCCTTATGAACTCAGCAGCTTTGATGACACCTTTTGCTTGGCAATGACAAATTCAATACGGTATATCTGTTTCCTTTTTCAGAATGTAGCATTCTACATTGTCTCTTCTAATTTCAAAAGTCAAGTTGAATTTAATTCTCTGAAAAGACTAGCTGAAGTAGGATTGTTTCCAATTATTGCCTTAAAATGTCATTCATATAGGAGATGATGGATTCTTAGAATGCAAATACTTCTCCATCCTGAATTATATAGAGATTTTCCCCTAGCAGGTTTTCAGGATTACTGAAATGTGCCATTTTTAATACAGTACGTTTAGATGGAAGTACTGTACAAATATGCAGGCAGTCACCACATTAAAGCTGTTTTTCATTTCTTCTACTTTTAGAGTGCATCGACAGGCTCACCTATTCATTTGAAATTACTATGTAGAAATGCGTCTGAAACTCTGGACATCTGTATTTGTTTAGACAGAGGAGCACCATTTAATGAGCATATATCATTGGGACTTTGAAATGACCAGCCCTAGCAGACTATAATGGACAGACTAAAGTCAAGTCAAGCTGAATGGTCAATTCTTAATTTAAAAACACCCCCTCATACTTAACATGCTGCATTTTAAGTCCATTTGAATTTAAGTTTATTTTCCACTGTATCAGAGAAATCCTAGATCAAGTGTTGCATATATATTTCAAAAATATTTTTGGCATGCATACTTATATTTTATTCTTTATAAACTGAATGCTTTTTATTACATTTGTATATCTTAAGAACCTCGAGGGTGGATTTGATTTAAATAAAAAAAATTGGGGGGGATTGTGTTGGGAGTTAGAGGAGAATGAATCCAGTGAATTTGAAGGGCTTCAGCCCTTGGGCCACTGGAGATTTGCCCACTTTTGAATTAAAACATCAAAGAGCTTTAAGAGCAGGTTAAAACGAGTAAGTAAAGAAAAGTAGGTAGCCCTCATCCAAATTAAATGTAACAGTAGTGACTGGAGCAGTGAGTTTAATTTGTTTATTATAGATTAGTTACCATAATTGTTATTAAACTCAAGATGGCATACATTGTTCTCTTGTTCCCCAGGTTCTCTGTATAAAAACCTTCTGAGGCAGGTCTGGCTGTGATCAGGTGGTTGCCCATTAAGTTTTATTACTTAGCAGGAATTTCAGTCCAGATCCTCACAGTCATACCCTAACACTCTAACCATCATATCTTACTTGCTCTCTAGATGAAAACGCTACTTACTCCCTTTGGTCACTCAGTAATAAGTTATTTTCATAATGGTAACTTTGCTTATCATCTTTTGGTTTTTGATCCTTCCTTTACTCCCTTCCCTTTTCTTCAGAGATTTTATGCCCAAGAATGTTGGCATTGATCCCAGTCCATTTACTGTACGAAAACCTGATGAAACCGGAAAATCTGTTTTGGGGTAAGGAAATCAAAGATGCAATACCCTGCAATGCACGTTAATTCTTTCTTTCTTTCTTTCTTTCTTTCTTTCTTTCTTTCTTTCTTTCTTTCTTTCTTTCTTTCTTATTCTTGCATTTCTTTGTGTATAATGCAATGAAATTTCTAGGTTCTCCCTATGAATCAGTCAGGTCAATACTTTCAGCATATATGCTTGATAGATTTGTGAAGCAAGTGGATCAAATGCAGGCAGATGGCTGATACTTTCCGTTCTTGATTCAGAATCTTGAATTTCAAGTGCCTTCCAGCTTTCAGCACAGGCCTCTTGCCAACAAGATGCAAGGGGGGGGAGAGATAGAACTGTCTTTGGTTTCAGTCCAGTGCTGTTTATTTTATGCTGCTGTCATTTCCACCCATTCACTTCTCCCACTTAAGACAGTGTCATTAAAGTGGTTTCATAACCTTCTGCTTCGATGCCAGAGATCCAGTGATTCTTCTGCCTCATTATTTCATTGTCTAATGGGGAGCACAGAGAAGTAAGTGAGGTTAAGCAGTTATAAATCTTTTCCAGGTTCCAGTGCAATTCCAAAATGAGCTTCCATCTCAGTTTCTTTGTCATTTCTAACAGTGATGTCTTTGGCTGGTCATGCTAGAAAATATTATTTGCATACTTGTATCAGAGTCTCAACCATTTGGGATCGAATTACGCGCTCTTAACTATCCTAACTGGACATAGTTCTGAGTTTTGACGGACGTTGAGGTGTGCTGAAGTAGCTCAAAAGGGGACTTTGAGGTGGAAAGTTGACTAGTTCTCCCTCCTGCAGATTTACCTCTACAGATGTTTTGTGGTGCCCCAATCTCTGCAGAATGTGCAAAAAAAGGGGGGGGGCTGTTTGCCTCATTAACGATTCCAATAGAATGTTGGCCCCAGTGCAGCAAATTGTTAGTTTAGGCTGTTTGCTCACCTAGTCCACTGTCTGTTAGGAAAAAAAGAAGACAAAAACATAGTGGCACCTTAAAGACTAACTGCTATATTTTAATGTGAGCTTTTGTGGACAAGTCCACTTTCTCTGATTTGTGCTGAGATGGTTCTGAAATTGTACTGATCATCCCAGTTGCATTTTTGTAATACTTTTTATGAAAAAAGTTGGCTTTTCTATCTTGATAATGGACATGTTTCAAGTAGCAGACTTCTTGTAATTCTGACTTTATACAAGAGTTCAGTGCTTCCAATTTCTCCTTCTGATTTCTGTGAGCTTCCCTTTTCTTTTGTAGGAACATCTAAAGTAAAGTGTTATTCTTCCATCTCTCTTATTGGCCTCCAAAAATCAATTTGCTGAGAACAGAGGTGTTCTGTATTTTTAAGGAAGAAATGTGTATGAGATCAATAAGTCTGGGAATCGCAATGTGAAGTTCTGTGCGTAATATATCATGAACAGAAGCCCCTATTCCCTCAGGTCTTCACGAGGTTCTCGCTCTTCTTTCTTCGCTGCCACCAGGTATTGCTGCTTCAATACCATTTAATCAAGGAGACATGTGTGCTTGTAAAACTTAAGTTATTTATTATATCAGGGAAGTTGACATATGATTAATAATTAATAAGCAAATCACAGGTTGCTAATCACTTGTATTTGAATCAGTTCTACTCTGAACTTAAAATTCTATTAACACTCTGTTCCATTCAGAGTTCTTACAGATCTCTAACTCACTCTAAGTTCACTTTTAAGTTTCACACTGTCTCTCACTCACAGAATCTCCCCTCATACTCCATACACCAGCCTTTATATCCAGCCCCCTCCCCCCTTGGCACCGCCTTCCGTCCACTCATTGGCTCCTTCTCCACTGCTCAGCTGTGGCGGACAGGTGAGGGCAGGGCTGTTCACTACACAGAGGTGTTCTGTATTTTTAAGGAAGAAATGTGTATGAGATCAATAAGACTGGGAATCGCAATGTGAAGTTCTGTGCGTAATATATCATGAGCAGAAAAATAGATTGGTTGCTTTATATTCCTTGAAATAGTTCAGAGATTTCAAGTGGCCGCTTTTGATCCATTTTTTTTTTTCAAAGTATGACAGTGTCAAAATGTTCTGATCCTGGCTTGAAGCTATTAAGCCCTTTCAGCAGTTGGCAGTTTAGTCTTCTGTGCCTGCAATATAAGCATTAGTAAACGATTCACTCACTTTACCTAACAAAGCATTTTGAAAGTCTTCCTCTGTTCTTGTATGTGTCTGTAGAGTTGTCCCTGATAACAAAAAAGAATAAAGCTGTATCTAACTGGGTACCTATATCCCAATGTATTGGAACCTCAGTTTTAAGATGTGGTGTATGAGCCAGCAAGAAGGCCTAAGTGATTCATATATAGAACAAAGGGTAGTTTTAGCTGAGAAATGGTAAAAGTAGGACAGAGACTTAACGCTCAACAATCAGAGGACCAAAAATGTTTGCAGGGAATGGGATGAAAGTAGCATCGGAAGTGTTCCAGCAACATAGCAGCTCTCTGAGAGATGACAGGTGTCATCCCTCTCCCACCACCACCACCATGAGCTGTTGCTCAGATTTTTTTCATTGGCCTCCATCATGAGCTACCAGATAGGTAGACAGGTAGGAAAGAGAGAGAGAGAGAGAGAGAGAGAGAGAGAGAGCTGATGGCTGATAATGACAACAATATCATTTCGTGTGTCTGAATCTTGATTAAGAGATTTGCACCAGTCCATCTGACTGTGTTTCCTTTCTACAACACTTGCCTTTTTATTCCCCACTCAGCTGCCACTGACTTTTGCCTTGGTTAAGGCCTCATGGAAACTAAAGTTCTTTCCTGACTAGAATTTGGGGAGTAGGGTGGGGACTCAACTCTGCTACTGTAAGCTTTCATCATGATTAACGTTATGATGACTGAACTTGCTGAGGTGATAAGAATGGATATTCTGACATCCCGTTTGGGTTAGCCACTGCTTTGGTAGTGATGTAAAAGTACTGGTACTCCATAATCATGTGGGTTGTTCCCTCTATCGCACTTTCCTAAGAGTTTGCTTATCATATTGCTTTTGAAGAGGTGCCAGTGTTTGACTGTTTTCTTTAAAATATGAAAGTTGACCAAACAAAGAGAAAAGCTTGCTTGCCCCCACCCCCAGATTCTGAAGTTAGAAATCTGCTAGGGAATGCTTGCTCTGCATACCTCTTTCTTTTGGCTGTTTGCTTTGTAATATGGAGATTTTGAGCTATCCACAAGCCTGCTTCTTTCCCAGCCATTCTCTTTCCTCCTTACTGCTACCCCATAGTTATGACTTTTCCTTATCAGGATTTGGGGGAAATTATGCTGCTAGGCATCTTAAGTGTTGTTAAGCTGGTAGTATTTGGACTTGCTCAAGAAAGCAGAGGAGCTGGCCAGGGCAGGTGAAGGGGGAATGCACTCCTACGGCTCCTTCCCAATCTCGTAATGAGGCACTCGGGTAAAGATGAACCCTTGGGCTCACCAAAGGCTAAGAAGAAAGAGTTTCTCTTCTCTGGCCTTTCCCATGCTGTCTATCAAAAGCAATTGTAGGGAACGCAAGCTCTCCTTTTTTGAACTCATTACACATAACAACTCTGTTTTTCTTTAGGAACAAAAGTAGTAGAGAAGAAACAGTGCTGCAGCGGAAAACAGCTGCTAGTGCTCCCCCACCCCCCAGTGAGGAGGCAGTATCAAGCAGTTCTGAGGATGACTCTGGGACTGATAAAGAAGAGGAGGGGACCGTCTCTCAACGTTCAACACCAGTGAAAATGACAGATGCAGGAGATAATACCAAAGTGACAGAAGTAAGATGTTCTTAGGGCACGGTTGGTGTCTTTTTTCCAGCCTACTTGTCCTTCTGTTTATTTAATGTAGACATAGGCTGGCCGAATAACTCAGTGAGTTGTGTATCTGGTTGGCAACTCTGTTCCCCGCTGTGCCTCTCGGGAGAAGAGCCAGTCTGTGTAACCCTGGGCAAGCTGCACAGTTCCAGGGCACCTCCGAAAGAAAGGAATAGTAAGCCAATTCTAAGTACTCTGTAGCTAGAAAGCTCTGGAAGGGGTTGCTGTTACATCAGAATTGAATTGGTGGCACATAATTATTGTTTAAAGCCTATGTGCGGATTTACTCAGACTTAAGCAGCGAACTTTTTTATTTTATGTCCCTCAGGTTCTTCTCACTCAGCAATGAGAAAGGTTATTGCATACCTTTAAGAAGAAGACAGTGTGTTAGAAAACAAAAATAACAGTTGAAAGAGTATATCAGAAGTAAATGCAATTCTTAAAATGCAGTTGAAAAATAAAGTTTTGTAATTGATTAGATTTCAAACTGAAAATATACCATTAAGGACTTGATCTACATCATTGTTTCAAATTAAGCTAAGCAATTGCACTAGGAGTGAAAATGAGTTAATAGAGTATTGGCTTAGTACAGAAATATGGTTTAATAAAGAGTTTACAGATACGAACATTAGTTTTGCTAGATATTACCCCTGTGCAGACTTCAGCTCTATTATAATACTTCAAGATCTGGAGATGTTAATGAAGATGCGTAAGCACAATAACAAGAGCCAACTTAGCAATTTTAAACCAATTGAACCTCAGTTTTTAAGATTGCATAAGGGAATTAACATAGCAGGCAGTTAACAGGAAAACTGCAGAGTATGATGCCGCTTGCCCTGCAAAATTTGATAAATGACTGGGGTCTCGTGGCTCTGGCCCATTTGTCTCCATGACTAATTCCTAAATGCAATCTGCTTCTCTAGAGAGACTGTGCTGTAGTACAGGGCATCTCATGGATTCTGAGCATCATAAGGCTGACACAAGCAGTTTGTGTCCCCTAGCAACATCTACCAAGTACCTCACGTTATCTGTAAGGAGTTCTAGGATCTACTTCTTCATACTACATCCTATGCATGACCTGTGCAGCAGATCCTTTTGTATTACAGTGTTTTAAAAAGCTATTCTGGCATACCGGAATCATTGTGCAAGTAGTGCAGTGTGTTTGTGATGTACAGAGAAGTGCAAAACTCTAATAATATTGTCTCTTACTCTTAGACTCATTAGCTGTTTTAACCCTCATGCACCAGAATGGGACATTTCAATCTACCAGAGTTTATAGTGAAACAGGAATAACCAAGTAAAATGGTGCTACTTGGTTACAGGACAAATTTTCTGTTGCTGTAGAGATATTCAATAAATGCAGCATAAAGTGCATTCAATTTATGCCCTACTATGTGTACAAAAGAAAATTTAGCAAATGGCTGAGATAATGCTATTGAAGCAGCCTGCTTCTGGTAAAAATAGTCTAATTGTTTGAACATTTTAATTTGTTTTAATTTTACCTATATTTCATATACATTTTACCTATATTTCATATACAATTTTAACTTGTGCAATGCTCCAATATGAATAAAGACAGATTCTATCAAAGTTACTTCATGTTGAGGAATCCATACAGTTCATTATCTATACAGCCAACCCTCGACTTACGAACTTAATCCATTCTGGAAGGACGTTCGTACGTCAAAAAATTCATAAGTCGAAGTACCATTTCCCATTGAAATGCATGGGAATGGAATTAATCCGTTTCAGCATTTTGAAAAATACCAAAATAAAAATAAAAAGAGCAAGTCCCACGCTCGGACTGCCAAAACAAAAAACAAAAAACCACACAGACACACACAAAAACCACAGAAACATAACCCCCCCAGTCCAAACCCACCCTCCAAAACTCACACAGAAAAGTTTTTTTAAAAAAGGACTTACCTGCCGGTGCTACACTACCTCCGCGCGGCCGGGGGCGAACGGCCAAGTGCCCGGCCAGCTCTAGCCTCCCTGCGCTCCTCTGCCTCTGCTGCAGCCGGGGGCGAACGGCCAGGTGCCCGGCCAGCTCTAGCCTCCCAGCGCTGGGTGAGTGCTGCCTCCAATCACGGCGTACATTATTATAACTAGCCCCTGCTACAAAATGGTGCAGTATAGTAATGTTCTGATGCAGAATTCCAGTCCACTAATCATGTACTCTTCAGAAATAGCCCCCCCTTTCCTCCTCAGGTTTTCTGTTATTACTATCCAATAGCATGTACACAGGATTCTGTGTACACTGAGTATGCTTAGGCCTCATTGGGGTGTTTTGGAGATGCTTTTTCTCCCAGTTTCTTCCTCATGAGCCTGCTGAAACATCCCTCTTAGTTATAGATGGCGTAGCCATTGCGTGCGGTGGAGTGTCCTGCCTTCCTGCCAACCATTAAAGTAAAATTCACCTTCTGTATGTGGAATGGGAAATAGTTTTTCCTGTGCTTTCCTCAAGCAGCAAAGTGGCTTATCCATTCATGTATTATGCTGCTAACTAGTCATATGTTTCAACTACTACAATGCAGTAGTTAATGGACAGCCCCATGTTATATTGCAAATGCATAGGTTACTAGCCGGCCACAGCCCACTGGGTGAGAGGCAGTGGAACTGTGGTTGGGCCCCTGTTGGATGCCAGATCTTTTTCAAGGGAGCTGGCTCAGCCTCCCTCTGTACCTGCAGGACTAGGCCCTACTGCTCCTGGCTGCCTCACCCCCCTCTCAACATGAGCCACATGACTGCGGGGGAGAGAAGGGGCTTTAGAAAGGTTTTATTTTTTATATTTTTAAAACTTATTTTAAATTGTGATTAATTGCCATCAATTAAGAAGAGACCCACAGTGGATTTTAGGGAACAGGAAGGGGGGAGGGCATTGGAGGGGGCAGCTATTGAGGTGGTGCTGGGTAGGGGAAGGAATGGCGGTGGGGGTAGGACATGCCCGCGTAGGAGAAGAGAGGTTAGATATCTTACATCTATCCCCTCTTCTAGTCCTACCCCCAAACAGATGGTATCAGGTGACCATATCAGCAAACCCTCGAGCCACACAGTG